AATGCAACTTAATAGGGATTTTTCCATGTAAACCAGTATAATGCAACTTAATAGGGATTTTTCCATGTAAACCAGTATAATGCAACTTAATAGGGGTTTTTACATGTAAACCAGTATAATGCAACTTAATAGGGTTTTTTTCATGTAAACCAGTATAATGCAACTTAATAGGGATTTTTCCATGTAAACCAGTACAATGCAACTTAATAGGGATTTTTCCATGTAAACCAGTATAATGCAACTTAATAGGGTTTTTTTCATGTAAACCAGTATAATGCAACTTAATGGAGATTTTTCCATGTAAACCAGTATAATGCAACTTAATAGGGATTTTTCCATGTAAACCAGTATAATGCAACTTAATAGGGTTTTTTTCATGTAAACCAGTATAATGCAACTTAATAGGGTTTTTTTTCATGTAAACCAGTATAATGCAACTTAATAGGGATTTTTCCATGTAAACCAGTATAATGCAACTTAATAGGGTTTTTTTCATGTAAACCAGTATAATGCAACTTAATGGGGATTTTTCCATGTAAACCAGTATTATGCAACTTAATAGGGATTTTTCCATGTAAACCAGTATAATGCAACTTAATAGGGTTTTTTTCATGTAAACCAGTATAATGCAACTTAATAGGGTTTTTTTCATGTAAACCAGTATAATGCAACTTAATGGGGATTTTTCCATGTAAACCAGTATAATGCAACTTAATAGGGTTTTTTTTTTACATATAAACTAGTATAATGGAACTTAATAGGGGTTTTTCCATGTAAACCAGTATAATGCAACTTAATAGGGATTTTTCCATGTAAACCAGTACAATGCAACTTAATAGGGATTTTTCCATGTAAACCAGTATAATGCAACTTAATAGGGTTTTTTCCATGTAAACCAGTATAATGCAACTTAATGGGGATTTTTCCATGTAAACCAGTATTATGCAACTTAATAGGGTTTTTTTCATGTAAACCAGTATAATGCAACTTAATGGGGATTTTTCCATGTAAACCAGTATAATGGAACTTAATAGGGGTTTTTACATGTAAACCAGTATAATGGAACTTAATAGGGGTTTTTACATGTAAACCAGTATAATGGAACTTAATAGGGGTTTTTACATGTAAACCAGTATAATGCAACCTAATAAGGATTTTTACATGTAAACCACTATAATGTAACCTAATAGGGGTTTTTACATGTAAACCAGTATAAAGCAACTTAATAGGGTTTTTTTCATGTAAACCAGTATAATGCAACTTAATGGGGATTTTTCCATGTAAACCAGTATAATGCAACTTAATAGGGTTTTTTTCATGTAAACCAGTATAATGCAACTTAATGGGGATTTTTCCATGTAAACCAGTATTATGCAACTTAATAGGGATTTTTCCATGTAAACCAGTATAATGCAACTTAATAGGGTTTTTTTCATGTAAACCAGTATAATGCAACTTAATAGGGTTTTTTTCATGTAAACCAGTATAATGCAACTTAATGGGGATTTTTCCATGTAAACCAGTATAATGCAACTTAATAGGGTTTTTTTTTTACATATAAACCAGTATAATGCAACTTAATAGGGTTTTTTTCATGTAAACCAGTATAATGCAACTTAATGGGGATTTTTCCATGTAAACCAGTATAATGCAACTTAATAGGGTTTTTTTTTACATATAAACCAGTATAATGGAACTTAATAGGGGTTTTTCCATGTAAACCAGTATAATGCAACTTAATAGGGATTTTTCCATGTAAACCAGTACAATGCAACTTAATAGGGATTTTTCCATGTAAACCAGTATAATGCAACTTAATAGGGTTTTTTCCATGTAAACCAGTATAATGCAACTTAATGGGGATTTTTCCATGTAAACCAGTATTATGCAACTTAATAGGGTTTTTTTCATGTAAACCAGTATAATGCAACTTAATGGGGATTTTTCCATGTAAACCAGTATAATGGAACTTAATAGGGGTTTTTACATGTAAACCAGTATAATGCAACCTAATAGGGGTTTTTACATGTAAACCACTATAATGTAACCTAATAGGGGTTTTTACATGTAAACCAGTATAAAGCAACTTAATAGGGTTTTTTTCATGTAAACCAGTATAATGCAACTTAATGGGGATTTTTCCATGTAAACCAGTATAATGCAACTTAATAGGGGTTTTTTCATGTAAACCAGTATAATGCAACTTAATGGGGATTTTTTCATGTAAACCAGTATAATGGAACTTAATAGGGGTTTTTACATGTAAACCAGTATAATGGAACTTAATAGGGGTTTTTACATGTAAACCAGTATAATGGAACTTAATAGGGGTTTTTACATGTAAACCAGTATAATGCAAATTAATAAGGATTTTTACATGTAAACCACTATAATGTAACCTAATAGGGGTTTTTACATGTAAACCAGTATAAAGCAACTTAATAGGGATTTGTACATGTAAACCAGTATAAAGCAACTTAATAGGGATTTTTACATGTAAACCAGTATAATGCAACTTAATAGGGGTTTTTACATGTAAACCAGTATAATGCAACTTAATAGGGTTTTTTCCATGTAAACCAGTATAATGCAACTTAATAGGGATGTTTACATGTAAACCAGTATAATGCAACCAAATAGGGGTTTTTCCATGTAAACCAGTATAATGCAACCTAATAGGGATTTTTCCATGTAAACCAGTATAATGCAACTTAATAGGGGTTTTTACATGTAAACCAGTATAATGCAACTTAATAGGGGTTTTTACATGTAAACCAGTGTAATGCAACCTAATAGGGGTTTTTACATGTAAACCAGTATAATGCAACTTAATAGGGATTTTTACATGTAAAACCATTGTAATACAACTAAATGGGGCTTGGCCAGAACCAAGACCATACCAATATCAGACCAAGACCCAAACCAACATCCCGAACCAAGACCAGACCAGACAAAGACCAGACCAAAACCCGACCAAGACCCGAACCAAGACCAAGACCCGAACAAAGACCAGACCAAGACCAGACCAAGACCAGACCAAGACTCAAACCAAGACCAGAACAAGACCTCTGTATTTAAAAGCCTGAATTTATTAGATTTATCGCCCAGCCCTACATAAATATATACTATAACAATTTTTTTTAATGGTTAAAGGCCTTCCGTCCTGAGACCATCCTGGGAGGATTTCATCTTGGCCCGTGCATTTTTTTTTTTTTTCATCCCCTGGACTACAGGACTATGTTAGTCTCGAGCCCTGACGATGACACTTACTAAAAAGAGCAGACATCTTTGAGTGGGCATCAGTGCACACTTGTAATGTTGACCTCTGCCTGTGTCCTGCTCACTTCTGTGGTGAAGGTCATTCAGATTTGTTTTCCTTCTCCCTGCCCTGTGAAAACAATGTGTAAAACAAATCTGTATTATGTACAAAGGTCTACATGTTCTGTTGCGTGTGTATGTATGCATTCCTTTATGTAGAGCAGGACTGGATTGGTTTAAACTTGTTTTTGTAAATACAAGCTCAAATCCTCCTCAGGAATACCAGCTGATGGTAATCCTCATAATGTCAATGTCCAGTGTGACAACTATACAGATACCAAACATGTCTTACTTATTTAATTTCTATTTTTTAATTTCTTTTTTTTTGTTACAGTAGAAGGTGTTGGACCTCCTGATCCGGTTTGGTAACTGGAAACATACAGTTATATACATATACAGAAAATGTAACTATGACGTTGTGCAATTCTAATACCATTCGTACAGAGTAAGCTATCCCCTTCAAAAACATACGTATCCCTGCTGGCCTTCAATTATTTTTCGTACAATAAACTTAGGCCCAGGACACGCTGGTGGGACTATGTCTCCGAGCTGGCCTGGTGTCGCCTCGGGGTCCCCCCAGAACAGCTGGAGGAGGTTTGCGTGGATCGGGAAGTCTGGGCATCTCTGCTGAGAATGCTGCCCCCGCGACCCGGCCCCGGATAAAGCGGAAGAAAATGGATCGATGGATGGATGGACAATAAACTTTACACGCTAGCACTACATTTACATTTTGGCATTAGATATACTGCATGTCTCCAAATCTGAATGCTGCATTTATGTAATTGCAAGCATAAAACGCTCTGACTGGGTGCAAATTCCTAGGAAATAAATGAAAGAAAGGACAGCACTCCTAGTCAGAATAAACATTATTTGATTTAATGCCACTATGCACAGAAATGTACGTAGTTAAGTGCATAAAGTTGTGAAAAACATCCGCGGTGACCAGTCTCATTGTTTACAGTAGGCTAACCTATAGCTAACCTATAGCTTATAACGCGATGCAAACCATTCTTAGTTAGCTAGCGTAGTAGCACTGATTTGCAAAACGCCTAAGCATGACTGACGCACTTAATTCAACATAATGTGTCGCTTTGAATACTTCCAAGTGTCATGCATTTACCTGTCCATAAGAAACTTGCCAAGTCTTCATCTCTTCTGCAGTTGGGCTCACGATTCATCTGTTGAAGGACTCTCCGATATAAATTCTGAATCTATCATGCAATCGTTGTTCTGCAACTTTAGTAGATGGACTTTGGAACTGTTTAAATTTCTTGTAAGAAGTAGCGGGCAGTCGTAGCTTCTGATCGCGTGCTGGTTGCATTGAATTATGATGCTGGTTTTTGCTCTCCACGCCTCCAGGGACAGCGCGTGCAAGATGTGTCAATCAAAATATTGCTTGCATTTTATTGGTTCAACACAACGGGGAGTGGACTCTTGAGTAGTTGCGCAGGTCAGGGAAGCAGGGACTTAACCAAAATATAATAATACTTACTGACTGTATATCAAAATGTAAGGCCAAGAGGTCAATTGTGTACATTTCTTACAATGTGTAATACATTTAGACATCCAGGCTATTAACCATAACCATGTCCTAATCTTCATACATAAAGTTAAACATTTGTAAAACTAAAATATTACGTTAATAAAGCCAACTGCAAATACTGTATTCGGAGTGTCGTCCAATGATAATTCGCAGGGGCGTGGCTTATGAGGTGAGGCGCGCGAGAGAGTCCGTTCATCCTTCCAGAGCTTTCTCAATTGAAAACAGTTTTATTATCCACAAATCTATTGTCTTTGGTAACAAAAAGTATTTATTGGTATTAAAACAAAACGGTATTTCTTCGGTGAGTAATACAGTGTATAGTATAAACCTTAAGAATTTCCGAGGTCAATTGTGTTTTTCCTTACAGGCTCTTCGTCTTCTCAGTTTGACAGTTCGACTTCACGGTAAGAATTTGTGGGGCAAATATATAGCGTTATTTGTAATGGTAAAAAATACAAACAAAACATGTATGTCTTGATAAATAAAAAAACACAAAACAAAAATGGTATTTCTTGGGTGTGTATAATAAAGTAAATAGTATCAACTTTAATACAATATTGTGTAACTGTCATGCTACAAAGCATTATAAATTAGAGTACTCATGAAACATGACTAGTCTACAACATTGTATTAAGTTCCTAAACATGGTATCCACTTATTTATAGTTTGAAAAATATTGGTATATATACACTTTAGGAATACATTTAAACGCCTTTTAATTAGCTCTTAGAGCAGAGAGTGAGACAACAATAATTATATACTGATTTAAAAGGCAGAATTATCATTATTTTTCCATAATTGCATATAAATAAATCTAAGTAATTACTATACGTTAGAAAACAGTTCAATATTTACATGATTTAGTTTAAGTGACGGCTAAAGTTTAAACAATCATAAGATTAAAATTACTTGTATTCAGTAAACAGGGATATTAAAGCATTAATATGTACAATGTGATTCAATAAAAATAAAAAATGTTCCATGATTGATTTTCATAAATAACAATAATAACATGATTTGACAAATGTATTAACCTAGAATAGTACAATATTTGTATTGTCTGTTTAAATGTTTATTTATTTGTTTTGTTTTTTCCCTCTCCTTTCAGATGAGCTTAAAGGATATCTTGGAAGGCAATTCGACAACGTTTTGCCGTCTTCGCATATTTGTTATTGCGGAGACAACCCGACCAAAGGTCCTGCTGTGGGATAATGTAACTTTAGGTGCCCGACCGGACAGAGTCAAGCAGAACAAGGTCATCGCCTTTACAGATGGCAAGATTGTGTCGAGCGCCACACTCTATGAGGCCTTAGGCCACAAATTGATTGCCGGATATTATTATGTGATAAAAGACTATGCAGTTTGGAACAATAAATTAGAGATTAAAAATAAAACGTTTGCATTCAACTCCAAGCCATTCCCTGTCCCGGAAGACCTCATCAAAGCCGGCAAGGAGCTGCTCTGGCCCGCGGAGTACGACCTACCACCAGGGCAGGTCGTACAGAAAGGCTTTGTTGCCGTAGCTGGCAAAGTCCTTAAGGTAGCTACAAACTCGTACACAATCAGCCACACACAGACAAACAGCCACACAAACCCACACACGGAAGACATACAGCCACATACAGTGGTGCCAATAAGTTTACACACCCTGGTGAATTTTTTATTTGTTTATGTTATTAAAGAATAATGGAGGGAAAGAGTCCTTCACCAGCCACAGTATTAGCCAACAGTCCTTTTGGTATTTCATTTTGTTATGATGATTTGTAATGAGTTCACATTTTTTTTCCCAATAAATGGCTTCACAACATTGATCATAAGTGAAAAAATGTGGTTTGTGCTTTTCATATTCTTTGAGAAATTGCCAAAAAAAAAAAATAACAATCCACCAGGGTGTGTAAACTTATTGGCACAACTGTATATATTGTTCTAATTTATGGCCCCCTCCTCCCCGCAGATGTTCCCATTGAAGTGGGAAAGCAAGACGGGCGTTCCTCTGCGGGATGTCCTTTTAGACCATGTCAGTATTTTTCTTTTTTGTGTACCTTTTACTTCAATTTGAGTACAAGTGTTTACTTTGTATTTTTTTCTTTTCTTTTACAGGGAGGGACACCACTCCAAGTGACACTTTGGAGGGAGGCCACCCTTTTGGAGCTCACAGAGGGAAAACATGTGGTCCTGCATCACCTTAAAGGCCACATGTTTGGAACTGTGTTTAAATTAAACAGCACAACCCTCACCACAATCAGTGTAGGTTTTTCTTCTCCTTCAGTGTCATTGTTTTTGTGTGTAATTACAGCTGTTTAACCCATGTGGTAAAACTTTAGAATATGGCGTGCTGTATGAAAAAGTTCATTTATTTATTTTGGTAATTCAACCTAAAATGAAACTAATATATGATATAGACTCATTACATGCAAAGTGACACAAGTCAAGCCTTTATTTGTTATCATTTGGATGATTATGGCTTACAGTCCATTTTTAAAATATTGTAATTTTATGAGATGTTCAATTTGGGGTTAACAAGCTGAGCCATAATAGTCAAAATTATAACAAATAAAGGCTATGCATATCTCACTTGGCATGTAATGACTGTTAGTTTCACAGTTTAAGTTGAATAACAGAAGTGAATGCATATTCTTGATATTTTCTATTTATATGACGAGAACCTTTGTGTGTGTGTGCGTATATATATACTGTATATTTATATATATATATATATATTGATGAGGTGCTCCTATTGTTTCCTCACAGGAGCCTTCAAGGAACATACGGGTCCTGAAAATCGAGGGCACGTCAGCAGAGTTGGATTCTGGCGACTGTCTTGTCCTGACAGAAGACGGCGAAATGTTTCGGGTGGCGGAAAAACGATGGTCTTTGCACGACCGCACAGACTTTCTCATTGAGGCAGACGTGGAAGCCGACAGGATTCTGTCATATATAGTGAAGGACCATGAGGCAGAGGAATAGTCCTTATTGTTACCGTTAATTAGCGTTCTTACATTTATTAGTTGCCATCATTTATCATTTGGATGAGAACTTTTTTTTGTTTTTATCTCAAATTCTGCCTACTTTAGTCCACATCTCCATGGAGACGAGCTGGAGACGTCCCCACTCCTGGTAAAGTTAGTCATGTGTTAGGGGAGATGAGCCGCTCACAGCCAAGGCACATGTTTGGAAATTTATTATGTATTTTATTCAATGATTAAATTATCTGTCACAAAAGCAAATGCTTGTATTCCAGTTTTATTTATTGGGTAAAATTCTATGCGGCGTGGCTTTAACAAAAAGGCATAATCCAAGCTGTTTTCTTTATGTAAAATAAAGTTTCTGACTGATATTTAGCCATAAATATTCTGCTGTGTCTTGAATTTGGATGGTATTGTTGGATAGTCCGGCTGTGCCCCCTCAGTCCAATAAAAAAATAAAAAACATGAAAAAAATTTATCAATATGCATTTTTAAACACATTTTCGGAAATTACATTGTTTTAAGCACCTGTACTCTGTTCGCCATTGTGATCTTTAACCATTTAATTTGTGCACATTTATGGCCCACCCCCAGGTTGGGAACCACTGTTCTAACGCACCCGCTATCCAGGCAAGGAGGCTGAAAGGTTCTTGTAGTTGGGGTCCTGTGCAGACTCTCTTTCTGATGTAGAGTGTGACTCCTGAACTACAGTCCTTGTTCAAAGTGTTTCAGCCGCACAAGTTCACTATAATTTCTCAGATTAGACGGTGATCTGAGGAAAATCAGCTTGAATTCTTGACGTCAGCCGGTCAGACCTGAAATTAAAAAGTACTAGTAAGTTTTATTTACAACTAGTTCATTGTATGCTGGCGGTAAATACTTCATATTCTAAATAGTTTTTTTTATTACATTTTACGTACAGTTTGGGGGCCCATAGGAGTAGATTATTAGTTAAAAAAATCAAGTCTAGTATTTGGGATGATAATGGATACTTGTGGAACTGTGGTCGTGCCTTTTCTGAAACCGTATTCTCCTTCCTTTTCTTACGCACCAACACTGGAAATGCGCATTCCGTTGAAGGAAAGGTCTGTCCTAAACAGACGCCGCAGCAGCAGAAGTGTCTTCTAAGCATCGATGCAGACTCACAGGTGTGTGTTACACCAGAGAGCAGCCCTATGAGCAACACGCACCAAACTATTTCAGTTCCATGTTTATTTAGAACAGTCCATTTCTACAGCCATATAGATATTTGATAATGAAATATGACTTCATTGGCAGGTTTGAAGAAGCCAAAATATAATCCAAGTGCAAATTAATGTTCAGTTCAAAGTATTACCAGTCAAACATGTGGTTCTTGTAACATTAGTGGGGAGTGCTGTCACGGTAAAGGGGGATGAGGGAGAGTCTGAAAGCCACAGCTCCAAGTCTCTACTGAAGGACCTTTTGTAGGAGCTTTTTCTGAGGAATTAGTGTGAAGCAAAAGGAAGGAGGAAGCAGTTTCGGAAAGGGCCACGGTCAGATGCCACAGACGCACTTTTTCTTCTAGGCCAAAGTCACAGTTTGATGGGAAAAAAATCTTACTTCTCTGAAATTCATTAATGCCAACTTAATAAATCCCTGTACATCTAAATGCATGACTTCATTATAAGACTGTGATAAACAGAAACATACATTTACCTGTAATCTGAGGCGTTTTATTGATGATCTTCAGAAGAGTGCTCATCAGAATCATTCCTCTGTTGTCCAAAGTCCTTTAGACCGACGATCACAGAAGCATCTTGTATATGGCCACAGATGGCAGGTTCTCCCACTGTACAAATACAGACAAAGCACATTTTACGTTTTTAACAGAAAGTACACAGTCAAGAATCAAAGTAATATCTCAGGAGCCAAAAGGACAGAAAATGAGAAATCAGAGCTTAGATTAATATGATAATATTTATTAGCGTCAGATAGTCTTCAAAATGTGTTAGGAGTATTGCTATTAAAGACCTCGACATAAGTGTTGGATAGCAGTTTGCAAATGTTTAGCATTTTGCAATGTGAATCCAGTTGTTTCGAGCCGTGGAGGATTCATTCTGAATTTCCCATGAATACATACCTCACTCTTTCATGTTGAGTCTTTAAATGAAGCAAATCTATGCTTCACAGCACCAGGCCTCCACCACATCATGTTTTCATCACGTAGTTGTCCTGGAAAATGAAATAAGCAGACAACAGAAAATAACTACAGTAGTAGTTTTATCATGTAAAAGTAACTGTACTGATATTCTACATTTTATGTGGAATAAGAGACTAAAAGGGCCAGTGACTCCAACTCTCACCAAAGATACTTATTCCACCAATAATTGCATATAAACCACAGCTTAGTGCGTTGTACAACCATGGACTAAAAATAACAGCTGTTCACTCTTATATTTACTTTTCGATTGGTTTGTGCTTTAATAGCAACAACATTGATAACTTTGATACATATACATGTGTTCATGCTTAACCCCATTTTTGTGTGGCTAACTCGTAAAGTTAGTTTGATATTATCAGTCCTAAAGCAAGTCAGAAAAATAGGGAACTACACCCGAATCGAAACAAACTACGAATTTTCTTCGGGTCAAACGTGCAACATGAAACACTAAAACTTGAGGCACAACACGTGTGTAGCTCCCTCTCTACTGAGCTTTATCATTATTTGTATTGACATTAGGCTACACAATAAATAAGAATGTACTCACGGGTAAGACAACCACTTGGCTGCCGTTTTAGGAGTCTTTGCCTGGCATAGATCTGTAAATGTCCTTGAAGAGTTTGCGGGAAGTTTCCAGTTCATTGTCCTCGCTGTCCAGGGGTTATAACAGGTCTATGGGCGATATCCACTAGTTCACGATCTTCGTGAATGTTGACCACACTGCTCGAGTTGTTCTCGTTGCAGAGATCTAAAGTTTGCCCTCAGAAAGCAGGATTTTCATTACGATAGTTACTAACAGCTGCGCTTTCTGTGAAGGGTCTCGTCTGGCTAGGTCCATGGGCTTGCGATGTTTACTTCCGGTTTGCAGTCTCAACGCGATGTGCTGATTGGTCAGAAAAAGGTCAGGTGACCCTAAAATCATACGCGTCAGAAGAGAATAGTTCCCATTTCACACTCAAATTTCTCAAAAGCTGCAGGGTTTTTCCGTGTACAAACTTTATTTGACCCCTTTGGTATGATATAGTTTCACAATATGTAAAAAAAAAAAAAAAGATTTCTGATTTCCTGGGACGAAACTTCACGCTCGAAAAGTTAGCCTGTGCGCACGCGCTGCCTGTTAACGTCAGTCTGTGCCTGAATCCGAACGGTAAGCAGTTCGTCTTTTTCTGTATTTAATATTGTAATTTTAAAGGCAGTACTAAGGTTAAAACTCGGAGAATTATATCTCATAGTGATACTGTTCCACAATTGAGCGATAAAGTCAGTTCAGTTATAATCGTTTTGAGCGTAATTTAACATAAAAATGTCACAGTTTTCCTGGTCTGTTTGCTACAGTTAGCAACGTTAGCAATATTAGCAACAGCCATTAGCAAACCTTAGCAACAGACTTGAAAACATATTCAAGTGCTAATGTTTGAGTCTCGTTTATTAGAGGGTAAACTACATACTATTCGACTTAAATTTAGTTTGACAGTAAATCCTAATTGCTAGGGCCGGCTAGTTGTTAGTTAGCTAGTTTTAGCTATTTGGTATAAATGTGGAGATTTACATCTGTTCAATTGACTTAACCACTGCCTCTTTTTTTCCCTTTTTTTTCATATGGACCTGTCGACCTGCGTCTGGGTTAATTATACTAGGTACTAATGGTGATTTTAAAAGCTGCACTTGTATGGTCCCTTGGGAGTAAAGGTTTTTTTGGGTTTTATATCTGTTTGCTCTTAATATACAATTTTCCCCTCAACTTGTAACTTACAGATACATTTTCTCACATTATTGTGGTGTTTGAAGGCACTGTCAATATTTTTAAGGTGATTTCCCAATATTTAACTACTGCTTGACTTGAGTCTTGAGCAAAAGGTTCGGCTTTTTTTTTGTTTCTTTTTTTTTTTTTTAGATGTTTGAGCATCAAGTGCGTTCAAAAACTTAAAGGAACACGTGTTTTTTGTTTTAATTCAAAATCTCCCCTCGGCAAACCTTTTGTCTTACATGTTACAATATAAAACCATATATTTAAATCTGACCACCCATCATTCAGGTGTGGGCCATTATGGGGACATTGGGGAAAAAAAACAAATAATACCACTGTTTTCTAAAAATGTCTACGTTGTAACAGATGGATGTATTGGTTTGTGATAAGTTTATTTCATGTTACTAATCAAACTGTTTTTTGTTTTTTTTGTTTTCCCCATGTACCTGTGGGAATGCCTGGCTGCATTGTCCCTCATCTGATTGTGGTGAGTCATGGTATTGTGTTTGGTGAAGACATTAAACAAGTGCTCACCGGTCATAAATAGGTGGTACATGTGAGGGTCACATGTACCACCTATTTAAGTCACACTTCTGAGGAAGTGTGTGATCACATAGGTGAGTGAGAAAAGAGAAGCAACGCACCAGAAGTAGTCTCTGAGGTGCAGATGTAGAGGAAAATCTTCATAAATCAAAAAACATCGTATATGTATATGTTATCACATAGGTGAGTGTCATGTAAATTTGCTCTTTACTCCGACCTTTGAGTGCAACTCATAAAATGACATGGCACAAAATGACTTTGCATATGATCTCATACAGACAGATGCTCAAACCCTACACATTTTACAAATAACCATCTTAGTGATGCTTATTAATTCAAAGCGTAAGTGTAGGATTTTAGGGCTATACATAGTATATACTACTTCATTGTATAGAACTGATGTTTGTTTCTATTTCTCTCTCATCGGAACATAAAAATAAATCATATTTCCTCTGGCTTTTTTTTCTTTTCTTCATGTTAGAGTGGAAGCAGAGTTTCTTCTGACAGTATTTGAACCCTTAAAATTGTT